AGAATCTATCTACCTAGACATTTCCAAAGACACCTGGGACCAACCTGTCTGAACCTGGTCTTATCTCAGCTCCTGTATCCTGCCTAGTCAGGGACCTTCACCTACCTGTCTCCAACCAGTTGCACATAGGCCTTGTGTCTCTCCTTTCATTTCACTCTGCCTGAAACCTTCAGATCTCACTGTTCCTTCCTGGATGAACTCCAAACTCATGAACTTCTCTCTCAGCCAATTGCCTTTGTGCTAGGCCAGACTGGCTTCCCTTTTACCCATCTCATGCCTGCTCTCCTGACCTGTACCTAACTCTTTGTGAGTTATTCTTGGCACTATAGCCTGATTCATTCCTTTTCTTTTCTTTTTTTGAGACCGAGTCTCTCTGTATAGTTCTTCTGTCTTGGAGCTCTCTATCTAGACCAGGTTGGCCTCGAACTCATAGGGAGGGGTATTCCTGCCTCTGCCTCTTGAGGATTCCCTATGAATGCTACCACACCAGGCTCTGGTTCATTCTTGCAAACGTCCTTACTATATCTTGTATTTCTCCTTTGATTTTTTTTCTCATGATCCCACACCCCTATTTGGCAAACCTTCTCTCATTCAAATCCACAGCAGGCTGAAAAAAGAAGCTGCCAGAATCGGTCATCAAATAGTCAATCGCCCTGGCCCTCTCATCCAGGCTCCCCTTGTAACTTCCAGACCTAATTCCATCTTCACTGGAGAAGGGGCCCTCCTGATGGAATCTCAGCCAGGCCTGGCAGTGTATGTTTTGAATCCCAGAACTTGGGAGACAGAGGCAGGAAGAGCTCTGTGAGGCCACCCTGGTCTATACTGTGAGCTCCTGGCCAGCCAGACTGCATAGTATGACCACATCTCAAAGAAAAATAAAGGAAAGGAAAAACAAGCCCTTCTGAAACCAGACTTTGATGCTTTGAGCCAGGGAGTGGATGAGAGCTGCCACTGGAGAGACTGTAAAAGTCTGTGCTGGTTCCTGTCCCCTCAGGGACATTCTTGTTTTGCTTGTTGGTGTCACATGCCTCTCTTCTAGGATTCATTTGTCCATTTTTACAGCACAGGCTGGACTTTTCCAAAGGAATTTACTAAAAAACAAAATAAGTTAATGAAAGGGAGGGGGTGATAAATCATAGAAAACACAAACAAGATAGAGTTTGGGCTCCAAAGCCTGGGCTCCAGCTACAGATTAATTACACCCCAGGCCCCAGGCTTCTCTCCTAAATTCAATATCACAAGGCTCCCAGACTGCAGCCAGAACACAGAACACACACACACACACACACACACACACACACACACACACACACACTTTTTCTTTCCTTTTTTCATAAAAAATTTCCTGCCAGAAAAAAAAAACAAAAAAAAAAAAAAAAAACCAAAAAAAAAAAAACAAACAAAAAAAACCAAACCAAAATAAAAACTCCATAAGTTGAGACAAAATCTAAATTCTCTGTCTCATATATATCATTTTTTTGTTCTTTCTTCTCTTTTACTCTTTGTCTCTTGTTTATTTTTATTTTTAATTTTTTGGAAACAGGGTTTCTCTGTGTAGCCCCGGCTGTCCTGGAGCTCACTCTGTAGACCAAGCTGCTTTCCATACATGATGGAAGGAAAAGCAGCTCTTGCAAAATTGTTCTCCAACCTTCTACATGCATGCCTCAGGGACTGGACTCAGATCTTCAGGCTTGGTGGCAAGTGCCTTTACCCACTGAGCCTTCTTGGCAGTGATTTCCTCTTTGTCTTTACTTCAGATAAGGTCTCATGTAGCCCAGGCTGGGCTTGAACTCCTGGTCCTCTTGCCCCTAACCCCAGAAAGCTAGGATCATAGGTATATGCCATCATCCCTGGTAGCATTTACAGCTTCCTTGCAGCTGAAAGAATGGGATCATGGAGACAACAGAGGGACACTATGGGCCTCAGGCAGTGCCATCCACATGCTTCTTTCTCCATGCTAGGAAGCCTCACCCATAGGAGATGGCTGAAGAAATGAGACACAACAAACATGGAGTTCTTAACATGCAGCGTCACGCCTCGCTTATTCAGTGTTGGGAATAGAACCCAGGGCTTCCAGCATGCTGGGGTGTATAGCCTACCAACTGAGCTACGACCCCAGCCCCCCCCCTTTTATGTTAAGATTTTATTTATGTGTACATATATGTGTTTGTGTGTAGGCATATGCGCGTGAGTGTAGATATGTGCAAAAGCCAGAAGATGTTGAATCCCCTGGAACTTGAGTTCTAGACAATTGGGAGTCATCTGTTATGGGTTCGGGGACCCTAACTTAGGTCGTCTGGAAGTGTGTGTGTATAACTGCTGAGCCACCCCTCCTCCCCCATTCTTTAAGATACTGAGCATTTTCTATACACCGGAGCCTGTCTTGGAGCTGGAAATAGAAGGGGCTTAACACAGAGAATCCAGGGGAGGCAAAGGAGTCTGCTCTGGCCTCCATTATTTCTTCCTGCTCTGCCCCAGGTCTCTATGTCTTTAACGGGGGCTCCAGGCTATGGCTGCTCCTAAGAAGAACCGTTGAGTATTGGATGGGCGTGGGAAATGTTCTTAGCACTTTTCACACACTTATTATGGTAGGTATAAGGACCTCAAACACCTGAGGAAATGGGATTAGCAAACAAGGAAGTAACAAGAATACGGAAATATTTTGAGGAAGACTTTACTTTTTTACTTATTGACTTTGAGATAGGGTCTCATGAAGTCCAGGATGGCTTCAAATTGTGTAGCTTGAAACCCCTGCCCCTCCCCCTTGCTCTTGCTCATTTATTACTTAAAAACAATGAGAAAACCTCCTAAAACTTATGATCCATTTCCTTGAAGTTGTCAGGCAGCATACTTACGAGAAGACAGACTTTGTGGTTTGTACTGTCGTGGGCCAGAGGGAAAAGGACTGAATTACATTTAGTGCTGATGTCAGGAGACTCTTCCAGGTGAACTATTCAGCCTGTTTGTGTGTCAGCTCAGAGATGGAGAGTGGTGTCAGGTAAGCCACAGTATATTTTTGGTGGGATCCCCAGTAAAAGGGTTATGATAAACAACAGCTACGCTGTCATTGTACTAGAGCACTTTTGCTTTCTTCTTAGGGCCAGAAGGGCTGAGGGCTTAGAGTTTGGGAGTATGCCACAAACTCCCCTGGAATCCGAGGATTCCAGAGGTAAAAAGGGTAAAAGGAAGGGCCAGGCGCCTGCTATTTTCATAGTGCTTTCTGCTGTCTGGTTTACAAACTATGGTCAGATATCATCATAACCAACCCTTAGCACACCTGTGCAGTGGAAATAATGTCTCCATTTTACAGATGAGAGAAGAGGCCAAAGAACAGTCAGTGTCATGCTGGCAGAGTCCATTTGTTTATTTGCCCCAGCTATTCATAAAATCACTTTCCTCAATATTGTGTGATAAAGGAACATCAACCAAAATGCAGTCTTCTTTTCTGGGGAAAACCCTGCCCTGGCACAGACCTTCAACTCAGTACCACCTGGCACTCCAAAACCACAATAGGGGACCATCATCTTCATGTTTATTCTGCAATCATGTCTAGGTGTAGCTTGGAATGTCTCGGCTTCCCTTAAGGAAGTTATGTGTTTATTTGCCAGTCAAGATCTTGCTCTGTGAATCCCAAGCTGGCCACAAACTCGAGAGCCTCTTGCTTTGGCCCCTGGGGCACTTAGACTGAAGATGTGCACTGTGAGGGCCCTCCATACTCAAAACCCGGCAAAGGGTATGCGGAATGTCAGCACAGGCAGGTCAGCCATTTAAAGCTTTCCAGTGGAGCATTATCCCACACCTGTAATACAGTCCCAGCAGTTGAGAGGCAGAGGCAGGAGGCTCCAAGAGACAGCTTGAAACAAATAAGGTTGGTGAAATGGCTCAGCAGGTGCTGCCTTCAATCCCCGGACCCATTTGACAGATCTACACATATGTGTCTTGGCATTCATGCCCCCATATGATAAACAAACAAACAAACAAACAAACAAACAGATAAATAAATGAATAAACACATAAACGTGCTACATATTTAAAAACGAACGAACAAGCATGAACGCTGAAATTATAATTGAGTGACTAGCATGAGCAAAGCCCTGTCTTCAATAGCCAATACTGAAAAAAAAAAAAGGGGGGGGGGCGGGGAGCTTTTCGACATAAAACTAGTTAGCCAACACCAACCCCAAACTGTTTGACAGGACCTCCTTCTTTTGCTGGGGATCAACGGCAGATTATGGAAACCATGTTCCTCTACCAGCAAAGGAAGCCCTCCAGTGCTGAAGGTGTCTTCTGGTCAAAGCACAAGCTGTACACAGACACCTATTTAGAGGCAGGGCCTGGGGATGTGGGGGAGTCGGTTCTCTTCAGCTCAGTTTTGGCACAACCACGTAGACCTGTCAATGTAGTTGGGGTGAGAGAGCCAGCTTCTAGTTCTTTTCGTTGCTGGATCTCAGACTGGGCAAGGTGCAAGCACGTAGGGTCTTCCTGGTCCCAGGGCCTGCAGGCTCTAGAGCCACCAAACACCCTCTCACCACGAGGGAGGGACGCAAACATCAGTCGCCTGCATTGACTGCATCGGAGAGTTGCACCCAGAAGGGCGTTCACGTGCTTGAGGTCACACATAGAGAGGTGTCCCTGGGGACAGAAGCAGGAAAGGAGAACCTGTCCCAAGGTGGACAGGTGACGCGGGCAGGGGAGACGCTCGGAGTGGCTGAACCTCTGTCCCCACCCTGGTTCTTCCACAGCCCCTGGCCCCGGTGTGCAACCCGAGGCTAGTGCGGGTGGCCCCGGGGTCGTCGGCCCCCCGCAGCCTGTCGCCCCGTCCCCGCTGCGCTCCGGCCTCCAGGGCCCGCTCGGCGTCGCTCGGCCGGCGCTGGGGGCGGGCACAGCCCCCTCCCTCGGTGTCCCCTCCCCGTTCCTCCCCCTCCCCCGTGGCGAGGCGGCGGCAGCGGCGGCGGCGGTCGAGGCTGAGGCGGCGGCGGCGGCGGCGGGCGGGGCTCGGCTCGGGCTCCGCGGGCGGGCGGGCGGACATGGCGGCCAACATGTACCGGGTCGGAGGTAGGAAGGCTCGGCCCTTCCCGGCCCGTCGGGGAGCGGGCGGCGGGAGCGGGGGTCCGGGCGGCGCACGCGATCCGCCGGCAACCCGGGAGCCCGGGCCGAGGGCGCCGCGGGCGGGGCGCGGGGGGGCTCCCCACCCCCACTCCCCTCCCCCACCGCTCCTGCCCGGCGTCCCAGGGCCAGGCCTTTTCTGGGGACACGCATCGGACAGCCCCCGTACGAACGCCCCAAAGGGATAGGGCCCCTGCAAACCCCCTTGCCCAGTGGCCTCTCCCTCGCGTGGCTTTTGGGCACTGGGGGGGGCTGGGGACACCCCCACACCCCGTTTCTGCTTCTGTGTTAGTGTGGGTTGGGGGCTGTGGTGGCCCACATAGGGGCACAGCCGGACAGGCCTGTTGGCAGAACCAGGGGCCTGCACCTTCGCTGCTTCGGTTTCTTGTTCTGCCCCCCCTAAGAGTGGGGCTTGTGTGGGGCCAGGGAGCCGCAGCCCCAGATTCGGGGAATTGAGCTCAGCCTGGACGTCGGCTCTGCTGTCTGTCTTCCCAGCCTTCTGCGGAAGAGAGAAATAAGGTCAAACAAACTTTCCCTGCTCACGGCGCCCTCCCTCCCTCCTTCCTGGTAAAATAATAATTCAGATAAGTGGCGTGTTTGTGAGTGAGACTTGCTCTTCCTTCTTTGCTCATTAGCTGGTCTCCTGATGGATGGTGGTGGAGAATGGCCTGGCTAAATGAGGCCACTTAGCAGCCGGGAGAGAGCCGCGAAGGTAGACGGTGACTGTGCAGTCTAGTCTCCTGTAAACACACAGTAGGAAGTTTCCAGCGACACTGTGGAGGAAAAGCCACACTTGGAAAATTTCTCTACGTTTGGTTGAAAACTTGCAATGATTTCTTTATTAAGAAGGGCCTAAATACAGTTGGATCACATCTCATAGGTTAAAAATCCCAACACCCTCCCTAGAGGGGCTCTCCCTCCCAGCCAGCAGTAACTTGCCTTATTCCTCACCTTCCCAAGTAGAGTGTGGAAAAGTTAGTTACCAGGTTTTCTCTCATCCACTCTGCCTGCCGTTTTTTTTTTTTTTTTTTTTTTTTTGTTTCTTTTTTTTTTTTGTTTGTTTGTTTTGTTTTTGTTTTTTTAAGTTGGTGCTTGAAAATGAATTGGGCTGGTAAGCCTTTCTTCTTGCTCTGAATTTGTCTTAGGTCTACAGTTTTACGTAAGAAACATTCTCCAGGGCTGACTGGATTGGAGGGATAGTGCAAGGAAGCTGCCCCGGGAGAGTCCTGATAGTAGTGATGACAGTCTGCCTGTCCTGTGGTTGTGGTTTTTTGTTTTGTTCTGTTTGAGACATGGTGTCTACATAGGCCTTACTGCCCTGGAACTACTACCTAGACCAGCCTGGCCTCACAGAGATCCGCCTGCCTCTGCCTTCCAGCTGCTGGGATTTAAGGCTTGTGCTTTTGTTTGTTTGTTTGTTTAGGCAGACTCTGAAGCTGGCCTCAGCTTTGTGATCCTGCCTTTGTTCCTTCCCCTCGATTACATCAAGTCAGGCTTTTCTGTTTTTTTTTTTTTTTAAATTAAAGAATTAATTTAAGGCTGGGTATTGTGGCACATGCTAGTAAATTCACACTGTAAGAGGCGGGGGCAGGAGGCTTAGGAGCTAAAGGGTGGTCTCAGCTACATAGGTCTTGTCAGCCTGGACTAATGGAAAGCTATTTCTAAGCTCGGAAGGAAAAAAAACAAAACAAAACAAAAAAACACACCAAAACTTAAGCAGGATGTGGTGCCTAGTGCACCACTAATCCCAACACGTGGGAGTATGAGGCAGGGGCATGTTGAGTTGGCCTACTTAGTGAGAAGTGGGAATTCTAGGAAAGTAACAGATGTGGAGCGTGCCGAGGCTGCATTAGAGGTGAGGGATTACCTATTTACTAAGGTGAATTGCCTAATGTAGAGAGTCGTAGCCCAATAGATTGCTGTGGCCCTTAATTGCAGCACTTCAGTCCCAGGCAGAGGCAAGCAAGTCTCTGAGAGTTTGAGGCCAGCCTGGTTAACATGGCAAGTTCTAAGACATCCGGGGTTACACAGTGTGACCCTGTTCCCCCACCCCCCCATATGTTGTGAGAACTTTTTGTTGAGAAGACCTGTAACTTTTTGATTGCAGATTATGTTTACTTTGAGAATTCCTCCAGCAACCCATACCTAATCAGAAGAATAGAGGAACTCAACAAGGTGAGTAGTGTTACATCATCTACTGAACATTAAGGGGCTTTCCCTTTAAGGGTTACTGAGCCAAGGACCTGAGAGGTGATTTTTTACTTTCAGTTCCAGACTACGAAAGTCAGACTTTCGTAAATTACAGCGTTCTGCAGGCGTCTGAATATTTGTTTACTTTTTATAAAGATCTTTGTCTGACATTCTTGAATAAAAGATTGCAGATGTCTTCAAATTGCTTTGAGCCTTAAAGCTCAGGTCAGTTCTGTAATTCACTTCCTGTTCCTGTTTAGAACTGTAATGTGAGCCGGGTGAGTTGGGCCCAGTGGCACACATCAATAAGCTCAACAGTCAGGGAGGCAGAGGCAGAGGCAGAGGCAGGCCGATCTCTGTGAGTTCTAGGCCAGCCTGGTCTACAAAGTGAGTCCAGGACAGCCAAGACTACCCAGAGAAAAGAAACGAAGCCTGTATTTTTGTTTCTTTGGGACAAGTTTTCACTAACTTCAAAATCTCACTTCTCCTGCCTCAGCCTCCCTGAGCTCAGTGTTTCACATTTGTTCGTGAATTTGTATTTTCCTCCTCTGGCTTCAGAAGAGAGAATCTAGACTAAGCATGACTGTTTCAGTTTATATATAGTTAGGCACATGGGAGCTCTGCTTCAGCCCGAACTGCAGAGTGAGACCTGGTCTAAACCTCCCCCCTCCCCCAACACACAAAATTGTCAAATGACACAGGAACTTTATATCTACTTTGAGTCTGGCCTGGGTTGTATTACTGAGACTGTCTTAAGCAACAAAATGAGAAGCTGGAGAGATGGCTCAGTTGATAAAGTACTTGCTTTGAGCATGAGGACCTGGGTTCAATTCCCAGAATCCGTGTTCAAAAAGAAAGAAAAACCGGTTTAGTGACTCATGCTTGTAATTCTTGCCCTGGGGCTTACCAGCCAACCAGGCTAACCTACTTGGGGAGTTCCAGGCTAGTGAGAGCCCAGTCTCAAAAACCAAAATGAAAGGAAAACAAAATTTAAAAACACAATAAAAAAAAAAAAAAGAATGTGGCCCACACTTTTAATCCCAACTCCAGGGAGGCAGAGGCAGGTGGATTTCTGAGGCCAGCCTGGTCTACAGAGCGAGTTCCAGGACAGACACAGAGAAACCCTGTCTCAGAAAACCAAGCCAACCAAACAAACAAAAGATCCAAGGTACTTGGTGAATAGTAATAGTATGTATAAACGTAAACGAGACAATTTAGAAAACCATTAGTTCAACAAGTGTATATTTAATGCCTGTAACTGTGTGCCACACCCATTTATGATACACACTAGTTTGGGAAAACAGGCAATAAAAATAAACACAGTACAGTAAGTATACATTTATATGTGTAGGTGTGTTTTCCTGTACACGTTTTTTTCTCCAAAAGTTTCCTGTTATCTCATCTGAGTGCAGACTAGGGGAAAGAAAAGAAAAAGAGAGACGTTTCTGCTGTCTTGGTTTTGGTTTCTGGTTTTGCCACAGGGTTTCTTGGAGCCCCGACTGGCCCAGTGTTCTTGCCTGGGCCTCCTGAAGGGAGGGATTACAGTCATGTACCACATACAGCAAAAGAAGAGCACAGGGTTAACAGCATTGAACTATGTTTGTCAAGAGGTTTTACTTTTGAATCTAAAAAGTTCCAGAATTTTAAGGAGACTGTGCAAGGTCCTGGGTTCTGTCACTGTCCTAACTCAAAAGAGGCATCACCACACTGGAGTCGAGATTACATGTTTACACAGTGCTGTCCTGTGTGTGACACTGTAAATATAGCACTTCTGTAATTTCGCTTTTATTTGGGAGACTATGGCTAGTGTCTTCACCTCTTAAATACATGTTTTACATCACTTACACTCTTCTAGTGTCTGAAAGTGCCAAATACAGCTCAGTTGGTAGAGTGCTTGCCTAGCACGCACAAAGCTTTGGGTTCAGTGCCAGCTTTGAAACAACTGGGTGTGGTGGTGCACACGATAATCCCAGTACCGAGGAGATAGAGGCCGGGGCGTAGGGATTATTCATCAGCTAATAGAGAGTTGAAGGCCAGCCCGAACAGTGAGAGACCTTGTCTCAAAAACCAAAAATGCTTTTTTTCTATGTCATTTATCACCTTCAAATACCTAATTCAAGGCCGTGTGGCCCAGTGTCCCAGCACTTGCTTATCATTTCTAAAGCTGTGGGTTTCACCCCTAGCACTGTATACAGAAGAAAAATCTTTTCAAGGAAAAGAGAGGGCCAGTGAAGTAGTTCAGTGGGTAGAATTGCTTACCACCGAGCGCAAGCCCCTGAGCTCGATTCTATCCCTGGAACCTACATATTAGAAACAGAAAGCCAACTCAAGAATCTCCTATCTTTTTATACACACATATACACACAGACAGACATAGACACACAGATACACATACAAACACGTAAAAATAAAGATTGAACCTGCATGCTTTATCTTTTGAGATGGGGTGTGTAGACCAGGCTGATCTCAAAAGCTCAGAGATCTGCCTTCCTGTGCCTCCTGAGTGCTAGTATTAAAGGTGTGTGCCACCACAGCTGGCATTGAGACAAGTCTTGCTATGTCCCCCAAGTTGGTCTTGAACTTTCTGGGTGGTTCATGCTGACCTCAAGTTTTTGCTTTTTTTTTTTTTTTTAAAGCAGCATCACACATAGCTCAGGCTGGCCTTGAACTCACTATGAGGCAGAGGTGGGACTTGACCTTCTGATCTCCTGATTGCTGGAATCACAGTAGGGCCTCGACAGGCCTGACTGTGCTGGGGTGTTGGCTATACTTTCAGCTTCATACCTCTCCCCACCATACTACTCAGCCCTAAACACTGAGCACAGGCCCTTGTATATGCTGGGCCAGTGCGCTACCACTGAGCTGTGTGGTTCCTGACACATATTGTCACAGTGTGTGTAGGCCTTGGAATGGAACTTGCAGTGTAAACAGAGCTGGCTTGAACCTGGAGCAATCCTTCTGCCTCTGCCTACTGAGTGCTGAGATTATAGCATTGGGCCTCTACTGAGTTACCCAAGCATATCCAAGCTTTTGCAAATAATTCTCAAACATTCCCTCAAGCCATTTCATGGAGCCTTAATCAGGATCCCTCCTGCCATTTGGGAACTATTGGCAGTAGGCATGGAAATTAGGAAACTTTCCCATTGGTTTCCCCACTCTTCATTGCCAGTATTGGGAATTGAACCCAGGGCCTTGAACATGCTAGGCCAATGCTATATCATTGAGCTGTGTTTACAGCCCTTGTTGTTTTGTTTGTTTTTGTTCTGAGACAAGGGCTCAATGTGAGGCCCAGGCATGTGTTCAATTCTTGATGGTCTGTCTCTGTGTTGGTGGTTCACCAAGCTCAAAAGTAACTCTTTAATATTCATAACAATGCACCCTGATGCTTGCACTCCCTGCTGTAGAACTTCTCTTCAGAAACTGTAGCAGACTAGGCACTGCTCAATGGATCATTGTTTAGAAGAGCAGAGCTTCAGAGAAATGGTTTGTATGCATTTTGTGGGAGGGAAGAACCATGGTGTCCTATAGTCCTGAGAGAAGAACTATTGTACAACCCAGGAGTCAGGAGTGTGTGTTGCTGGGGAATTCAACCTGTGTACATGTTAAAAATGTACCCCATCCCCAAGCCACACCCCTTAGTCCTGAGGCTATTTTTATTACTACTATTTATTTTATTTTTATTTTATGGGCATTGGTGTTTTGCCTATATGTATGTCTTTGTGAGGGTGTTGAATCCCCTAGAACTGGAGTTACAGACAGTTGTGAGCTTCCATGTTGGTGCTGGGATTTGAACCTGGGTCTTCTGGAGGAGCAGCCAGTGCTCTTAACCTCTGAGCTATCTCTCCAGCCCCAAAGAGTTCTTCTCTTTACTCCCTCCCCCAAGACAGGGTTTTTCTGTGTAGCCCTCACTGTCCTGGAACTCGATCTGTAGACCAGGCTGGCCTGGAACTCATGTAGATCCACCTGCCTCTGCCTGCCGAGAACAGAGGCTAAAGGTGTGCACTCCCCCCCCGGCCCTGCCCAGCTATTATAATGTCCAGGTATGATGCTGCACACCTATTAATTCCAGCACTAGGTAGGCTGAGGCAGGAGGATTGCCAGTTCTAAACCAGCTTGAGTTATATAGTGAGATCTTGACTTAGAAAAAAAAGTTAAGAGGAGAAATTTTCTGAACTACATCTTTACCCTCAAGCAGGGTTATCTGAGAATTTAATCATCTCTGTAGTGTTGCTGTTAGGAGAACACACTAATAAGACTGAAATGAGAAAGCGTGGAGAGTAAAGCCCTAGATTTTATTTACATGGAGATACCAGCCTGTTCATTTAGCACAGGGCTCATTGCTTCTGGAGGATGAGTTTGATCACAACATTATGAAATATATTGGCATTTGGGTAGAAATTTAATATGATTTCAGTTTGAAGGGGCAATAGCTCCACAGTTCCATTTCTCGCTAAAATAATATTGCTGCTGATCTTGGTAAAACTGACAAAATTTATTATGGTATATATGTTCTTTATACTTGAATATACCTATAAGTCCAGATCTACTCTGAAATGTGTGCCACATATGGTGGAAATTGGACATTATAGTAACCTTTTATTGTAATCTTTGTGTTTTTATGAAGAACTTGCCAGTGACCTGCTTGAAAGCCTGTAGAATTTATAGAGATTAGAATAGGAGCCTGGGCCTCAGCTGCAGTAAATTACAGCTGAACAGAATGCTGAATGCATTTTAGACTAGTCAGAAAGATGTCAGAGCGTCTTAGAGTTTTGGATATTTTTCATAAGTGAAGGTAAACTCAGAATATTGACTGTGTGGAGGGTATTTTTCCAGTTCTGTCCTACATGCTGGCTACTGACGCCTGCGGAGAGCTAGGGCTGGGTGATCTTATACTTAATCTGTGCAGTCTGGGGATGGGTTTTAGGGGCTAGTTTTCAGTGTCGTGAACAAATTATTTGCGGCTTTTAAAATTGGAGGGATTAATCTGCCTGATATGGTTGTGCGTGCCTGAGGACGGTGGTAGAGACAAGAGGATAGTGAGTTCAAGGCCAGCCTGGGTTACATGAAACCCTGTCTCAGAACACACATACACACAAAATTGAGACAGTGTCTTGTTCTGTAGCCCCTGGCTGGCATGGGACTCTGGCCCTCCGCCTTAGCTTTCCCAGGGCTAGGGCTATGGGCAAGTGCTGTCACAGTCAGTGGTTAGGCTCGTCTTATCTCTGAGACTTCGGGTCCCATATGACGTCTATTTTTCTTGTTTCCTAGACTGCAAGTGGCAACGTGGAAGCAAAAGTAGTATGCTTTTATAGACGACGTGATATCTCCAACACGCTTATAATGCTTGCCGATAAGCATGCTAGTAAGTGAAATGGCTTTCTTTTGGGTCAAAAATCATGTTTTGTGTTTTTCATGATGTGAAGAGAATGTTTGCTTACCATGAAGCTTTTTCTTTCTTTTAATTATTTGTTTGTTGTTTAATTTATTTAATTTTTACTTTGTGTGTGTGGGTGTTTTGCCTGCATGTTTGTCTGTGCACCACATGCATGCCTGGTGCTTGAGAGGCAGAAGAGGGTCTAGGATCCCCTGGAGCTGGAGTTACAGACAGTTGTGAGCTGACATGTGGGTGCTGGGAATTGAATCCAGGTCTTCTGGAAGAGCAGCCAGTGCTCCCAATCTTGGAGCCAACTCTCTCTCTCTCTAGCCTTTCTCTTAAAACAACAGCAACCAAACCCAAAACTAATTTAATTTATATATACATATGTGTGATTGTATGTGCTATCATGCCTAAGTGGAGGATACCTTTCAAGATTCTCTGTTCTTCCATGCTCTTGTGGTTCTGTGGATCATCAGGCTTGGTAGATCCCTTTATCCCCTGAGCCATCTCCCTTTCTGCATCTTTTAGTTTTCCTTTTGGCTGAAGTTTGGGTAGCATTTGTCTCTTTCTCTCTTCTCTCTGTGCTCACACATGCATAAAATATATGTATACTAATACGGTCTATATATTTATAGTATTTGTGTGTGTTTGGGGGGAACCCAAGACCGCGTGCATGCTAGGAACTCGCTCTGCCTCTGAGCTACATCCCAGTCCCAGGTCACACTTGTTTACATTATCTTATGCATACTTGTGTTAAGAAGTTAACATATTCGAATAACATTTTTGAAAGTTGGCGTTAGCAAACCATCAGGATAGTATTTTTGTAACTGCTTATTTTCAATAGTTTCTTGTGGGCATAGATTTGAAGAAATTTATATTCCATTGTAAGGTGTTTCAATGGAGTATACTTTCCTTGCTCTAAAACAAGTGGGCAATATTTTGATTTGTTTGTGTTATTTTTGAGCACCAACTTTGTGTATACTAATCATCTTCTTGCCTCAGCCTCCTAAATGTCCCAAATATATTGCCATTCGAGCAAATATTTGCAATTTTATCCTATTATTACACATTTATAGTATTAGGTGTATAGGAAAATAAAATTTTACTAGAAAAAGTACTAAGTCTGATTTAGATATAGAGAATTCCTGTAGATGCTACACTTGGTTTTGTTTCGGTTTGTTTTTTGTAGCTTAAAAATGTGTGTGTGTGTGTGTGTGTGTGCATACACACACGTCTGGGGACCAAAAGTTGATGCTGGGATGTTATATTAGTTGACTTTCCTATTGCTGTGATAAAGTGCCCTGACCAAGACAGCTTATAAAAGAAACCTTTAATTAGGCTTATAGCTCTAGGAGGTTAGTGTTCATGATGGCGGGAGATAGCACGGAGTAGGCAGCAGACATAGTAGGGCAGTGACTGAGAGTTCAACTTACATCTTGGCCCACAAGCATGAAGCAGAGAACACACTGGGAATGGCCTGAGTCTTTTGAAACCTTAAAGCCAGCCCCCAGTGGTACACCTTTGCCCACAAGGCCACACCTTCTTATCCTTCCCAAACAGTTCCACCAATGAGGACTGGCTATTCATGCATATGAACATATGGGGCCATTCTCATTCAAGCCTTCAAAGGTGTCTTCCTATTTTTTTTCTTTCTTTCTGCTTTTGAGACTAGTTTTCATGTATCCCAGGCTGGTTTTGAACTTAGTACCTAAGTGAGTGTGACCTTGTAATCCTGATCTTCCTGCCTTCACCTCCCAAGTGCTGGAATCACAAGTGTGCACCACCACACTTAGGAGTTTGTTTTTTCTCTATCTCTTTGAGATAGGGTTTCACATTGTACTGCAGGCTTGTAGCCCAGGCTGGCCCCTTGGCAATCCTTTTTTCCCCCAGTCCTGAGATTACAGGTGTGAGCTACCAAGTCTGGTTTGAGTTCTTTATAGATTTAAGATTTTTAATCCCCCATCAGATGTTTACTTGGCAAAGATATTCTTTCATTATGCAGGCTGTCTGTTCATTCTGGTTTCCTTTGCTGTGAAAAGCTTTTTAGTTTTGCAATCCCATAAGTCAATTAAAAAAATTTTTTTTCCTCTTGAGATAGGGTCTCACTATGTAGCTCTAGCTGGCTTAGAACTCCTGTGTACACTTGGGAGGCAGAGATGGATAGATCTCTGTGAGCTCAAGGATAGCCTGGTCTAAAAGCAAGTTCTAGGACAGCCAAGGCTGTTTGTTTGTTGAAAAACAAAACAACAACAAAAAAAAAAAAAGAAAGAAAGAAAGAAGAAGACGAAGAAGAAGAAGAAGAGGAGGAGGAGGAGGAGGAGGAGGAGGAGGAGGAAGAAGAAGAAGAAAACCTTCCTATTTATGTAGATAAGGCTGCAAAATCACAGAGATCTGTCTGTTTCTGCTTCCAGAGGGCTGGGAGTAGGTGGTATGCCTATGTTAGTCAATTTTTTTTTCCTGATTTTTGTTTTTTTCCTGATTTTTGTTTTTTCAAGACAGAGTTTTTCTGTAACTTCTGGCTTTCCAGCTCTGTAGACCAGGCTGGCCTAGAACTCACAGATATCCGCCTGCCTCTGCCTCCTGGGTGCTGGAATTAAGGATGTGCACCACCACTGTCTGGCTAGTTATTTTTGTGTGTGTGTCTTAGAGTTTTATCGCTGTGAAGAGACACCATGACCAAAGCAACTCTCATAAAGGAAAACATTTAATTGGGCAGGCTTATAGGTTCAGAGGTTTAGTCCATTATCATCATGGCGGGAAGCATGGCAGTGTACAGGTAGACATGGTGCTGGAGGAGCTGATCCATCTGGATCTTCAGGAAGCAGGAGACTGTGAGCTACGCTAGGCCTAGCTTGAGCATCTGAGACATCAAAGCCCACCTCCACAGTGACACAGGTCTTCCAGCAAGGCCACGCCTCTCAATGGAGCCACTCCCTATGGTTGATGCATTCAAAAACTTGTCTATGGGGGCATTCCTATTCAAACTACCACAGTGTGTGTGAGTGCCTTGCTGCATGTATGTATGTGGACTACATGTGTGTTCGTGGTACCTGTGGAGTTCAGAAAAGAGTATCAGTTTCACTGGAGGCGGAGTTATGGAAGGTTGTGAGCCACTGTGCGGGTGCTTGGAATCCAGGTCTTCTACCAGAGTAACAAGTGTACTAACCCGTGACCCGACTCTACGTCCCTTTCCATCAGTCACTCTCAGTGTTATTTCTTGAGCTATGAAGGACTTTTCTCCAATTCCTTGCCTAGATCTCTATCTGGAAGTGTCTTCTCTATGTTTTCCTTTCTGGCTGCACATTAAGGTCTTTGATACAGTTTGCATTAATCTTTGTACAGGGTGAGAGGATAGTTTCATTCTGTATGCTCTACATGTGGCTCTCCAGTTTTCCCAGCATCCTTTGCAGAAGGGGCTGTCTTTTCAACTTAGGTGATTCTAATTGTGTGTGTTTGTTTCTGATTCTCTCTCTTTTTATAATTTTTAAAAATTATTATATGTGTGAGGTTTTGCTTCCATGTATGTGTGTGTACCACATGCATGCCTAGTGCCCACAGACGCCAGAAGAAAGCATCAGGTCCCCTTGACTGGAATTACAGATGGTTGTGAGCTGCTATGTGGGTGTTGGGAATTGAACCCAGGTCTTCTGGAGGAATAGGCAGTGCTCAGCCCTGGGTTGTCTATTCTATTGCATTTGTCTGTGTGTCTGTTTTGCACCAGCACATTTGACGTCAGATATTTAAGACCTCCAGCATTGCTCTTCTTAGGATTGCTTTGGTTACACAGCATCTTTGTGTTTTCATATGAACTTTAGGATTGCTTTTCTTTTTCTGTGAGGGCTGTCATTGGGATTTTAATGGGGATTGGACTGAATTTGTAGATCACTTAAGGTTATACAGCACAGGAAGCCTTTCTATCCTCTGGTGCCTTCTTCACTCTCTTTATGTTTTATTTGATTTTATTTTTATGACTGAGTCTCCTGTTATCTAGGCTGGCCTCAGACTTGCAGTGGAGCTGAGGTGATGTTGGATGTCTGATCATTCTGCCTCTGCAGATGTGGAAGACTGCTCTTGGATTTTGTGGTGCTGGGGGTGGAGCTCTGGGCTCTGTGAATCTGGGAATCCTGTCCTCCTTGGTTAGGCTTACTATTAGGTAATTTAATCATTTAGTATTTTGTTCTGACACAGTCTCAAAATATCTGGGGCTGTTGGACTCACTGTGCAATGGAGGATGGTCTTAAGTGTAGACCCCACCATTTGCAAATGGGGACAATCTGGCTTTTTTCCTGCTTGCACCCTCTTTTTCCTTACTCTTGAATAATTGCTCTGCTGGAGAGCACAAGCACTGTGCTGAAAAGAGAGTGGACACTGCTGCTTTTCGAGCAAGTGTTTTAGCCCTTCTCTGTTGCTGTAGTATTGCCGTGTGCCTGCCGGGTCTCACCGCTTTGCTGTGGTGGGATCCTGTTTCAAATTCCTTCAAGCTTTTTGTTGTGAACCGATGGGGGACTCTGGCAAAGGTCTTCTCTGTGTGTCCCGAGGTGGCTGTTTACCTTTTGTCTTGGATTTGATTTATGTGCTGTGTTTTATTTATTAATTTCTATGTGTTGAAAGGGGAATTCTTAGAATGAAACTGACTAGATTTTAGTGTGTGATCTCTTTAATATTTTACTGAATTTGCTTTGAAGGCACTTCAATTCATTAACAAATTTGTACTGGTGGGGATCAAATACATGGCCTTACTTGCTTTATGATTTCCCAGTGGTTTGCAGGTATTTTATTGGGAACGTCTACATTCATCCAGGGAACTGGGCTGTAGCTTTTTGTCCCTTCTTTGTTGCTGTACGTTACTTGGTTTTGGTGTCAGCAACCTTGTCTTGTGGAGTGGATCTGTGTCATTCCCTTACTACTTTCTGGAATAGTTTGGGGACATGTTCTGTCTCTTCCTCCTTGTCATTTCTCTTAACTCCTCGTTGCCTCTGGGTTGG